CGTTACACTGATGCGAATGCGTTCGCCGGACAGGTATTGCAGGCCATCCAACAGCAGGTAGTTGTCGGTCGTGTTCACGAATGGCACCCATTTGTCGGAGTCTTTGTTGAATTTTTCGACCTTTTTTTCGGTGATAATTAAGTTTTGAGATCATATTAAGACTTAAATGAGACCATAATTTGAGCATTTGTTTCGATAAAAGTTTTGTTAAATAATAGATTCTTATCATTAATTCTCAATATAATTATAATCTAATTCTTGATGAATTATAGTTCATTGTAAAATTCTCAATAAACCTAACGGTAATGGTTTTATAATTATTTTGCTATTAAACTATAATTTATTAAAAAAGTAATTTGGTTTATTTTTACAATTTACTAATGAGCCAACTAAATTAAAGTATTAATAATTATTATTTAATGTTTTACAATTAATTTTGTTTACTAGCATTCTTATAAAATAATATATAGTATTACTAATTCATTTACTACTGAACATATCGCACAGTACGGGCCATACCTTATAGAAACCATTTAGGGTGGACACTTTTGGCCACTCAATTTTCACCATATGTTTATCGAAACTCTTGGGTTCAATCAAACCAGTAATCTTGAAAGTAATGGGACAGCCATCATCTACCGGTGCCGTAATGGTAGTAGCGATCGGCGGGTTAACGCTCATCCAGTCGGACACCAACCCCTCGGACTCACCGAATTGATTGACACTTTTCACTCTAAACCTTACTGTGGTGTCTGCGTCCAGATTCTTAACCTTAACTATCGTTTTGGCTGTCTGTCCCACTTTCTGCCATATAGACTCCTTTCCATTGTATTGCTTCTCAATGGTGTAATTGACAGGACTTTCGCATTCATCTACCGGCGCTTTCCATAGGATTATAACTTGACCCTGTAGCTAAACATTCATTTGATTAATAAAACAAACAGAATATTCTAACATTAAGTGCAAAATACCGGATTTTTAGTGACATTAAACCTCTCGATGGGACCCACAGGTTTACAGGTTAGGGTGTTCATCGGACCGTTAGGTGTGACTACTAATGGACCTTCCGGTGCCGGTGTAACTTCCCCTCTGATCGGTATTTCCAGTTTTACGGGCGCTCCGGGATCTGTGGTTATGTTTTTCATCTTCGACTTATCAATGGACGGACCGGTAGTTACCGGTAATATGACTGTCATTTGTGTCGGCTATTAATGGGTTATTGGTTAGTAAAGCTTCATCAATGATAGCATAAGTATGACATACCAGTGAGGGCTCACTCAAAGACCCACTATTCACAGCCCTAACCCTAAACCGATAAATTTGATTGGTTTTCAAGTCACCCAAAACCGTTTTGGGTTCGGCATCGGGTGTTTGGGTGGCGTTAACCCACGGCCCGCTCGGGTACTCCTGCGACTCAACCACATAGTTAGTGATGGGAGAGTTGACGGGGTCGGGAGGGGGCGACCACTCCAACACAGCGCTCCCTATATTGTTGACCACTTTGACACCAATGGGCGGTGAGGGCGGCGAGGGTTCGCCCTGGGACTGGTCCAGTGCAGGTGATAAACCCTTTTCATTCATGGCCTTCACACGGAATATAGTGTCGGGAGGCGTGGCGTCAATTGTGGTTTGGGCACAGAGGGGGTCGTCCGGCACTTGACACTCCACTACTGACACAATGATCCAGACGTTTGTGAGTTTGTCAAACTTTTCAAACGAGTAGCCAATAATGGATTTACGGCCATTACTGACCGGGGGTTTAGCCAAGAGTATAGTTTTGGTGGGCGTGTGATTGATAGTCAGTGGACCGGTAGGTGCCGTGGGAACGGTAGGTGCTGATAGATTCAACTGCGCCGCCGATAACCAAAATGTGGTGTAAGGCTCGGAAACGCCGTACGAATTGCTGGCAGTGATTATGAACCGGAATTGGTTTCCGTAATCAATGTCTTTGCCGTTGATATAGACTTTGGACTCCAATGTTTTGCCTATAAATTGGAGTTCATTTGAATTGTTTGTTTGTTTTTTTATTGAATATTCTGTAATCGGTCCGCATGTATACAGCGGTGGCCTCCATTTGACTGTAAACTATATATTTTGAACAGAATTTAGTACAAAAATTGAATTAATAAAAGACATTTAAAATTATACCCCATTTTCTGATATATTCGAAGCATATATAGGCCCATCCGGTACTCCCGGTGCGGACACATTAGTTTTAAATACAGGTATCGTTGCATTGATTGCATTTGTGATACACTTCCCGTCGTATGCCTTCACTCGGAAACTATATTCTGTCAAACACTGCAAATCCTCCACCGAATAGTTATTATCAGTGGTATTGCCAACAGTATCCCACCTACCGGTGCTCGCATTACGGTTCTCAATCTGAATTATCCAAAAATTAGTTAATTTAAAAATGAATTCATAACTAAAACTAGTTTCTAACAAATTGCTTACGATATAAATAATGGGTTTAGTGGTCGTGCCATTAAAGGCTGTCCACTGCAACTCCAGTCCCGTGTCTGTCATATTAGACACGTCTACCATTCCGTATAATTGCCGCTGAGAGCAGTCATTCTTATCATCGGTGGTGTTGACCCAATCGGATATCAATGGCTCCGACTCTCCCACAGCATTGAGGGCTCGGATGCGGAACCGGAATTGCGATCTCTTCACAAGATTCGTGACCCTAACCCTCGTTTTGGTGGTATTGCCCACCGGTTTCCACACATCGGTTCCGGCCCTTTGTTTGTCGACAGCGTATGACTTGACAGGACTTCCGCAGCCATGTTGGGAGGCATTCCAGTTGAGTATAACCTGAAGTCATAGACAATATTGTAAAACATGTATTGATTAATAAATTTAATTGCCTTGTCGTGAGTTATATTAGTGAAACTGATGGGAGGTGTGGGCGCGTCGGGCGGACCTTTGCTCGTACTGATAATGTCGGTTAGGAGGGGGTCCGGTGTACACCCCTTCACTGACTCGGCCACAGCGTTGACCCGATATTTATGCTTAGAATTACACTTCAAATCTGTGAACAACTGACTAGTTTGATTGGTTTTCGACACGACTGTCCACTCATTAGAGTTGGTATTGAGGCCGACATCTAATCTCTCAATCTATATGTTAATCATAAACATATTTAAAATTATATACAGGTACAATTAAAACTATAGAAACCTACATGATAGGCGATTAGAGAGACATCGGTGTAATTAACTGCTTTCCACTGCAAGTAAATGGATTTCGAGGTCATATTAAACGGTGTAATAAATGCCTCCACTTTTGGGGGACACTGAGGACCGATATTTTGGACCAAAGGCTCTGAAATGCCCACATTGTTCACAGCCTTCACAGAGTACAGACCACCCTGCTTATCCGACTTAACGGTAACCTTACAGCACCGGCTATTGTCCGGTTCTTCGCTACAGTTGGCTTTCCCCACAGCTTTCCACGCATTTGTCTTTTTATCAAACTTTTCAAATATATAACCAGTGATTGGCTTTCCATTTGCAACGGCCGGCGCTTTACATGTTAGCACCAGAGCTGTGCCATTGGGTGCAGCTTCTAATGGAGGTAAAGGTGCCGGGGGTTCGGCATTTACGGTCACTTTGAACGAGGCCTCATCCCTTCCGGCGGAGTTGTTGGCGGTTATAGTGTACACGCCTTCCAGTGGTTTATCCATAGAATTAACGGTAAGAATCACTTTATTTCCCTCGGCTTTGATGTTAATGTTGGGTCCCTTTCCGTCAAATATGGTTCCGTTCAGTTTCCAGACCACATCCGGAGGCGGTGTTCCCGCGATGGGAGCCTCCACTCTTATAGGCTGTCCCTTATCTACAGTAATGTCTTTCAGGTTTGTCTTATCAATGGTCGGCGCGTTATTCTTGGGTATTATCGGTACGCTTGGAGTAGCCTATCAATTGGCAAAATAAAAAACATATTAATTATTAATCAAATAAACCTATAATTAAAAATTATAATCCCATACCTCGGAGGGCTCGCTAAGGCCTACGTTATTAACAGCCCTTACTCTAAACGCATGGGCTTCCGGGGGCTTAACGCTGGTAACTGTGGCCCGGGGGGTGGGGTCGGGTGTTTGTGCAGCCTTAACCCACTCACTATTAGGTGCCGCAGACTTGGACTCAACCACATAGCCAGTGACCGGACGCATGGGATCCGTAGTCTTGGGTGGCATCCACTCGAGTACAGCCTTTTCCCTACTGTCCACAACCAATACGCTATGCGGTGGGGACGGGCGGTCCACCGACGCGTTCAATGGGGCGGAGTTACCGATGCTATTAATGGCCAACACAGAGTACTGGCCCTCTATGCCATTATTCACTGAGGAGTCTAGGGTAGCCCTACAACACTGGCTGTTATCCGGCTCCGTGCACCGCACGCTTACCACTGTTCTCCAAGTACCGGTGCTTTTGTCAAGTTTTTCAAACACGTATCCAATAACTGGTTTTCCGCCATTATTTTCCGGCGGTTTACAGCTTAAGACTATAGCCGTTCCGTTAGGCTCTACCAGTAGTGGTGGAAGGGGTGGGTTGGGCTGTATATTAACCGTCACTTTGAATGAGGTCTCATCTGTTCCCGCGGGGTTGGTGGCAGTTATAGTGTATATGCCTTCCAGTGGTTTATCCATTGAATTAACGCTTAAAATCACTTTATTCCCGTCGACGTTGAAGTTGATATTAGCCGCCCGTGCGTCCAATACCGTTCCGTTCAGTTTCCAGACCACATCCGGAGGTGGTGCTCCCGTGATGGGCGCCTCTACTCTCATAGGCTGTCCCTTATCGACGTTAATGTCTTTGAGGTTAAGTTTGTCGATATGCGGGCCACTCTTATTGGCTTTGATCAACACGTCTGGTGTGACCTATGGGTCAATGGGAACGGCATTTTAATTAAGTATACAATTATAGAAATAAATTTACAAATAAATAAAAGTATATTTCAAACCTCAGATGGTTTACTAATACCGATGCTGTTGACCGAACTGACCCTAAAGTTGTAGGTCTGTCCGGGTTTCACAGTAGGCACCAGTGCTCGGGTATCGTTATCCGGTGTCTGTACGGCTCTAAACCAGTCTCCAATTGGCGCGGGTTTCACGTCCACCACATAACTATGTATGGGATACTTGGGGTCAGTATTATTGGGTGCCTTCCAGTCCAAAACAGCCCGTTCCAGGTTATCCACGACACGGAGGTCATAAGGCGCCGGCGGTTTGTCTACTGTCCTATTTAGTGACGGCGAAACACCTATACTATTAACAGCCGCCACAAAGTACAGGCCGTCTATTTCGGCACCGAGTGACCGGCTTACTATAGCCCGACAGCATAAGCTCGGGTCCGGCTGTATGCACAGCACGTTAGCCAACTGCACGATAGCGCCGGTAGATTTGTCCAGTTTTTGAAATATATAGCCTGAGACGGGTTTACCGCCGTTACTGACCGGGGGTTTACAGCTCAACACCAGTGTATTTTCGTTAGGCTCCACTTCGAATGGAGGTAAGGGAGCACCGGGAGGTCCATTGATGGTCACTTTGAACGACACCTCATCCCTGCCCGCGGAGTTGTTAGCAGTTATAGTGTATACGCCTTCCAGTGGCGTATCCATTGATTTGATGGCTAAAGTGACTCCATTTTTACGGACTTTGATGTTGACGTTAGGGTTGGTGTCATCCAATTCCTCACCGTTTATTTTCCACTCGATATCCTTGGGTGACGACCCGGACACTACGGTCTCGAGTTTGAGGGGTAGACCCCTGTCCACAGCCATGTCCCTCAGGTTTGTCCTATCAATGGTCGGCGCGTTGTTATTGTCTTTAATTAATGTGTTTTGTGTTGGCTTTCAGTTCAATAAAAATCAATCAATTATTGCATTCATTAGACAGTCATCGCTTGAAAAGCAGGCATACCTTCGAGGGCTCACTACGACCCACAGAGTTGATGGCAATAACCCTAAACTCGTACTTCTTTTTGGGTATGACTTGAGAGACAGTAGTCGTGGGTATATTATCGGGTGTTTGCAGACCAATGATCCAGTTCCCTTTCGGCACCTCCCGGTACTCTAGTATATAGCTCGTAACGGGACCGCCGTTATCGCTGGTCGGTGGCTGCCAATCGAGTTTAGCCACAATCGTATTGTTCAACACCCGTACGTTGTAGGGCCGGGTGGGCACACCTCTGGGTATTATGATATCCGGCAGTTCTAACGGCGCCGAAGGTCCTAATTGGTTGATCGCTCGCACCCGAAACCTGTACGGTTTTCCCGGCACTAACGGTCCGATTGTTTTGTTTGTTTTGGCGGTTTTGGTGGCCTCTGTCCACGGAGGGGAGGGCACGGAAGGTGTGTCCAAAACTCGGCCGGTGCTGTCCATAGGAACCTCTTGTTTCTCAACTAAATAGTGCATAAGAGGTAAGCCTCCCGTGTCTTCCGGAGGCGACCAATTGAGTGTCACTTTATTGTAGTCTATGTTTAGTATTTTGATGGGAGCGCCGGGTGGTTGCGATATGTCCAGCACCTCGATCTCGAAGTTTATTGTGTCCATACCTGACGTTTGTATGAATTGTTTGTTTGATTATTGAATTATTTTTCATTTTTAGGTTTCATTGCACTTGAAATACAATTAATTTGTGGATATATTAAGGGTGTTATTAAGATAGACAAACATTTGTTTATAAATTATAGTGACTTTACTCCTATTAATAATTTATGTCCTTGTACATTCAATGTCAAAACAAACCTTTCAGTGAGTGACACAAATAAATCATTCACTGATTGATCAAACAAATCACAATTTGATAAATTAAACTCAATCTCAATGCATCCCTAAACACATCACTAACCCAATGGTAATGTACATCAAAAAGCAATCAAAAGACAGAATATTCTGTCGACAAACCCATACCTAAGGAATTGTTAATAACCAGAGAGTATATGCCTTTATCGAGACCACGTGTACAGCCGGCTATAACGAGCTTTTCGGATGGATTAATACGGCCGTCGGCGTACAGGAGCCGCACTGACCTATAATACGAGACCTGAGGCTGCGGTATACCGTTATAGCGCGGGTCAAACACGGCTGTAGCGCCGGCTACTACCGTCACGTTCTGGTAGTTCCGATCGATTACTGGTGGCCCGGGTGGTGGCGGACAGGGAGGCAACGATCGCTGAGCCCCCAGATTGGTAATGGCGTTCAAGTCGAGGCCCAGTAGCGGCGGTCTATCGGTGACCGA